AGGCAACATAGAATAGACCAGTGTGGGCTTTTGGAGCCTCCCAGAGCACAGTTTAGGATGGAGGGCGCCTAAAAATGAGGCAAGCAGTGGAAGATGAGGTCCCACTGGTGCTCTACCCCACCACACTTGCATAGGCTATGGTCTGAAGAGCCACGTTCGCACCCATACTGGTGAGAAACCATACAAGTGCCCAGAGGAACTGTGCAGCAAGGCCTTCAAGACCTCAGGAGACCTGCAGAAGCACGTCCGTACCCACACTGGTAGGCAAGGCCCTGCCCACCCCTGGGGAAGGGGGACTCAGTTCACCCAGTGCCATCCCTTTCTTGCTCCGACATGGCCACCTTTCTTGAACAATCCCTTACACCCCCCATCTGCACAGGTGAACGCCCATTCCGGTGCCCTTTTGAGGGCTGTGGCCGCTCCTTCACCACATCTAATATCCGCAAGGTACATGTGCGCACCCACACAGGCGAGCGGCCCTACACCTGCCCCGAGCCCCACTGTGGCCGTGGCTTCACCAGCGCCACCAACTACAAGAATCACGTGCGCATCCACACAGGTGGGCCAGCTGGCATGCAAGGACCACCCTCTAGAGGCCCCACCTCCCTCTACTGTAGGCTTCTGATCTGAAACACACTCTCAGCTCCCAGTCTGGAGCCCTTCTCCGCCGGCCATTCCAGGCTGGTCTGGGGGTGGGTATCCCCAGAGCCACTGTTTCACTTGCAGTAAGTGGTTCCTCCATTTCCAATTAGGTCCAGCCTGTCAGGTATTGCCAGCCCTCTTGGGGGTGTCCCTCAGTTCCCAACCATTCCTCTATCCCTGCCCTAAACTCTGCTCTGGCTGAGTTCCTGAGAAGACCCCAGAGTCAAGAATGGTGGGGAAAAAACAGTGAAATGTCACCTTCAGCTTCTCACCTCATCCACTGTGCATATGACTCCTGTATGTCCTCACCTTCCCCAATGTCACATCCCTTGTCCAGCCTTCTGTGTCATCTCTCAGCCATGCGTGCCTATCTAACACTTCAGACCCTATTCCCGCCTCTTGCCTCTTTTGTTCACCACTCTCCAACCTTCCACCCTCAGCCTCATCAGTCCTCAGTGCGCCTCTACCCCTTCCCCAACCCCAGCCTTGGCCCACCCCATTCTTTCACCACTGCACTTCAGTTACATTAAATCAAACCTGGGCTCAGAGATCCCATGCCCAGGTCCTCCATGTCATCCACTGGCCATCTTCCCCAACTCTGTCTGTTCAGAGTCTCAGGTCTCAGTCCCTCTCCTTCCCTCTGGCTTTCCCTTCACCAACCCTGTCCCCCATCCCTGTCCCCTTAGTTTCCCCCTTGCCAGCCCCAGTTCCCACCCCCCTCACAGCCCAGTGTCCCCAGGGGAGAAGCCATACGTTTGCACGGTGCCAGGCTGTGGAAAGCGCTTCACTGAGTACTCAAGCCTGTACAAACACCATGTGGTGCACACGCACTGCAAGCCCTACACCTGCAGCACTTGTGGCAAGACCTACCGGCAGACCTCCACCCTGGCTATGCACAAGCGCAGCGCCCATGGCGAGCTAGAGGCCACTGAGGAGAGTGAGCAGGCCCTGTATGAGCAACAGCAGCTCGAAGGTGAGGGGAGTGGGCAGGGGGCAAGAGTGGGGCAAGCCAGACCTCCCAGATGCATCCAATGGCAGGAGGTAGCCTAGACTCTCCTCTCCTAGCCGCCTCTACAGCTGAGGAAAGTCCACCACCCAAGCGAGCTCGCATTGCTTACCTGTCAGAAGTGAAGGAAGAGGGTGATGACATCCCAGCCCAAGTGGCCATGGTGACTGAGGAGGATGGGGCTCCCCAGGTGGCTCTCATCACTCAGGATGGTGCCCAGCAGGTACAGGGCTGGGGCAGGCCAAAATGACCACTTCATTCTCTCTGGGAACTCTGGGGAGCTCTGAAGCTCTGACAACCCCACTTCCATGCAGATTTCTATTTTAGCCCTGTGGACTTCAGAGAGCTAAAGCTGAGGGGACCAAATCGTGTAGCCCAGCCTCTTGCTTCCAGCCTAGTCTCAGCTTCTAGAAAATAGTAGCTTTCCTCTTGGAAGCTGATAGGTGTCCAAATGAGACATTTGAATGTCCTTCTCAAGAGGCACGTTGGTATAGGGTTCCGGAAGCCTGGAAGTCCTACCAGTGTTACCAGCCAGCAGTATAACCTGGCCCTTGTCCACACCCTCTCTGCCCAGTACACCTAGGCCTTCTAGAGGTGTCAGGGATGAAATTTGGTGAAGACTCCAATGCAACAGCAGGGCTTGAAGGCAAAGTGGTAGTCACAGAAGTGGTTAGTCAATTTTAGCGTAGCTCTCTGCTGTCTTGGCCCTGTTTTGCTTGCTTATCTGGGAGAGCAGACACACCCTCCTGAGGGGTTTTCAGACACCCCTTTTCTGGTGTTCTAGCTCATCTTCTCCCCTCCTATTGGCAGGTCAGCCTGTCCCCAGAAGACCTGCAGGCCCTGGGGAGTGCCATCAGTGTGGTAACCCAGCACGGCAGCACCACCCTCACCATCCCCAGCCACAACGATGACCTGGCCACATCTGGCACACATACAGTCACCATGGTCAGCGCTGATGGCACCCAGACGCAGCCCGTATGACCAGGCGGTTTGCTTAGGGTTTCTTGTTCTCTTGTTAACCTTTCCATGGGGTGGGCATGAAAGTGCAGGCCAAATTAGCCAAGCCTTTACAAGGACAAAGATTCCCCACCATAAAAAGTCTTCCCCGCAGCTCCTCTGGGCAACTCAAATCTTTAAAAGCATTTGACTTGAGTTGGGTATCATGGTTCATGCCTGTAATCCCAGCCACTCAAGGAGCTTAGGCAAGATGACCAGAAGTTTGAGGCCAGCCTGGACAATTTAGTGAGATCCTGTCTTTTAAAAAAAAGTACTGACAGCATATCTCAGTATTAAGTACCCCTGGGTTCAATTCCCAGTACAGCGTGCGCACGCGCGCACACAAACACACACACACACACACACACACACACACACACACAGTGGGGTCAAGAGATGGTTTCTAAATCTCAGTTTACTCTAAATTTGCTTTGCTGAAAAGTAGGCAATAACTTTTTCATGGACTTCAAGGTCCATTTTCAGCTGAAGGGATTAAATTCTCTCTGGGGTCCTTTATAACTCTGTCCTATGATTTGAAATCCTGAATTCACCTGGGCTCTAAATGGAGAAAAACACCATCTCATTCATCTCAGAGCCTCAAACTAATTAATTTGATCTACATGGTCTTGTCCATTTTTTTTCTGGGTTGTTCCTAGCCATCTTGCGTGGAGTGTTGTTATTAGGAGTGGGGAGATGGAGGGTACTGCAGGTGGGTGGAAGATCTTCTGTGTTTCAGGTCACAATCATTACCTCTGGGGCTGTGGTGGCCGAGAACTCAAGTGTAGCATCCCTTCATCATCAACAGGTGGCACTGTTGGCCACAGCCAACGGAACACACATAGCAGTGCAGGTGGGTTGAAATCTAAGAGGAAAGGGGATCTTAGGCCAGAGAAGGGAACAAGTGGGGAAAGGAATTCAGTGGAAATCTTGAAGAGAAGGGCATCAGACTCAAAAGGAGCCCATTTCAGAGGACAAATCCCTTCCTGCCCATCCACACATATGTCTCAAGCTCTTTCTTGGCTAAAGCAGCATAGGAAAGCCCTTTCCAGCCTTCAGGATAACTCCCGTGGCAGTCCACCTGTGGCTCAGCCATTCATCTCTGTTTATTCACCTGGGACTTAACGGTGGATGATCACTAATGTTCTCTCCAGACAATTAGTCTACAAACAAACCAATCTTTCTGACCCTGGGCCATCCTGGGTCCCTGGCCATACCTAACCTAATAGAACTCTTCAAAGTGAACCTTCTGTTATTGGGGCCCTACTAAGAGCTTCACATGTGACCCTGAGTAGATGGAGGGCATCTACCACATACTACTAATGCTAGGATCTAATAGGGAGTGTCTCACATGTTCCTCCCTTCTCCACAGCTGGAGGAGCAGCAGACCTTGGAAGAGGCTATCAGCGTGGCCACTGCTGCCATGCAGCAAGGGACTATGACTCTGGAGACAGCAGTGTCGGAGAGTGGTTGCTGAGCCCGAGGGCTGGCTCCCACTTATGCTGAAGGAGGTGCTGTGCTTCACAGGTGGCCCTGTCTCCAAGGGCCCCAGCTGTGGCTGAAACATGGAAGGTGGCCACATAGGTCTCGGGTGAGACAGCAGCAGGAAAATGGTCTAACTGAAGGGGATGGGGGCCCTACACAAGAAGGGCCAGGCAGTGGGAATTGGGAGTGTGTCATCCTCAGGAGCTGAGGAGCACAAGCCTGATCACCAGGCTGCCCTGGGCGCCCATTCTCCTCCCTTTGGAGAACACCCTTCCCACCTCCAGTCCATAACCCTTCTCAGGTGGAGTTTGGGGCTGCAGTGGGGACTGGCCTCTACCATGACTGGTGATGGCCTACCAGGGGAGAGAGCTAATAGCTCTTCAGCCCAGTGGGGGCAGAGCAGGCCTAGCCCTGCCCCTCCCAGCAATAACCACCTCCCCAGAGGCCAGCAGAGATGCCTGGCCACTTGGCACTAGGGACTTCCTGCCACCACAGTAAGAATAAATTCCTCAGGGGCCTGTGGCTGGAGTAAAGGTGCCCAGCTCCCACCACCCAGCAACCCCCCAACCTCTCAGTGGCAGAGAGGCAGGGAGTGGCCTTGTACATAGATTGCTGGGGATTGGGGTTAATTTGTTTTGTGTGTGTTTTTTTTTAATTCTATTTTGATAATTATTATTTTTCCCTGCTCTGGGTGGCAATGGCAAACAGGTGAATGCGTATTTAATAAAAGTTCCAAGTTTCCACCTGGTTCTTCCATTCTTTCAGCTCTGGATCCTGGTGGCAGGGTTGATCAAGTCAAGCTTTCAGCCCTGTTTCTCTGACACAAACTGCTTGGCCTTGATGCCTAACTGGTAGGCTAGGCTACCTGGGACCCAGTTAGGAGGAAGGCTTCATGTAAGATAAGCCCAGGAGAGCTGCTGGTGTCTTCCTACCACCTGAGCAGGTGGGCTCTAGGGTAACCAAACAGGACTAGGGTGACCACTGCTTCCAAGCTCTAACTGAATCTCGGTCATTGGGATGGTGGGCTGGAAGAACTCTTTTCCTGCCTTATCTTTGTGGAATGTAGCCTGAGCCCCTCCAGCCACTCCTGACTGCAAGCAGTCAGCTCCTCCCAGGGGGCAAAGCCTCAGGTTAAAGCAGGGCTGAGGGGCACCTCCGTCAAGGTTACCAAGTTTCTGATGCCTCAATGCTCTGGTACTGAAGCCCTGGCTGTTACCCGGCCCTGAGAAATGGGGTACAACCAGGTGTCTAGGGCTCTGCTGTGGGATTTCAAAGCCATAATCAGACTGAAAAGTGAGTGGTAAGATCAGACCAGTCCCAGTGGGAGGAAGGGATGCAGGGGAAGGAGCTGTGGGTTTGACCCTGCCCAAGCGGAAGCACTGCAGGAGCTGGAGATGCCTCTTTCCCTCTCTCAACTGTGATGGTGTCCCATGCCCCTTCCTACCACGTGAGAATGGAACCCCATCCCCTGGCCCATACTCCTAGTATAGCTAGAAGGCTTCCATTTACTCTTGCATCCCTTTGGAAGCAGAAGAGTAAGGCATGCCCCTAGCAAGTGAGTGTCTCAGAATTGTCCTGCAGGTGGCTTTAAATCCCTACTCCTGAAGTGGATATGCCCAGCCCTCATGGGCATTGGGTCTAAAGATATGGTAATACCGATGTGGAGGGCCCCAAATCCCAAAACTGCCCCTGCCAGAATCCCTGAGTTTGGGGTCCACAAGACTCACCCTTGTGTGTTTCAGATATAGTCTGGTGTCGTCAGGGACACCAGGCCCAGAGTGAGCAGTGCCCTCTGTGCCTTTTAGAGCCAATGCCCAGGGAATAGTAAGCCAGCAAATCAAGTGCCAAGTCTGCCTGACCTAGAGAGGTGCCCTGGCCGGGTTCTTCCTCTAGCTTTGTGGCATTGTCTTTGTTTTCTTCCTCTTGGGTGGAGCCCTGCCATTCCTCTTGGGTGGAGCCCCACCACCAAGGTTACACTAGGTGGCACTAAAAGAAATGCTTTACCCAAAGCCTTCTATGTACTTTACATCCATTCTCAGACATCTGTACCACTCTGTAAGGTTGGTTTTTTTCCTGTTTACTAAGAGGAAGTGATTCAGAGAGGTTAGGTTACTTAATTCAAGGCCTCACACCTGGTAAACTGTGACTCTGAAATCAAGATAGGCTTTCTTTTTCCCTCAGGGAGCTGCCTCTTGGTAGCCTAGGAAGGCCCTGGGGCAAAGAAGCTTCTAAAAGGTCCTCACAGCCAGAGAATCAGTCCCATCAGAACAATGACCCCCAATTCTGAGAAAGTTGGTCCCTGTTCCATGTAGGGGAATGGAGCTGCTGAGCACTGCCAGAGCCACAGGCCAGCTCAGGGAGCCAGAGCAAGCAGGCAGGTGGAGCTCTTGCTCTGCACCAGGGCCCCTCTGCGGTCTCCGCAGCCGTTTGCATTTCCTGAAACCGGATCTTGATGTTAAGAGCCGCCCCTAGGCCGGGCGGGCGCCTCAGCCATGGCCCTGCGCAAGGAGCTGCTCAAGTCCATCTGGTACGCCTTCACCGCGCTGGATGTAGAGAAGAGTGGCAAGGTCTCCAAGTCCCAGCTCAAGGTGAGGGGCACTGGGGCCCAGGGGAGGCTGGCAGACACACCATATCAGTCCCTGCCGCTTGGGTGTTCAGTAGGAGTGCTGTGCTGCTCTGGGCACCCAGCCATCCAGCCATCCAGCCATCCAGCGGCCCTGGCTCAGGTTGGAGGACTGGTACTGGGTGACTGAGCCAGCATGGCTGGGTGGATGTTGCTGCCTACCATTCAGAAGCTTCAGTGAAGTGCATACAGAGCCACTGTGCATCATGGGGTCTGAGGACCATGAGTTAGGCCACCTCCCAGACTCCATGGGATGAGCACACCCAGCTCCCCAGAGTCATGCTTGGGCACGCACCTTACTCCTCCCTGCCAGTTCCTCCTGGCTTTGGAGAAAGACAGTTAACCAGTCAGGCACTTCCTCGGGAGCAGAGGGATATAAAGGCCTTTTTCCACCTCTAAATCAAGTTAGCCTGCTGAACTACAGGTGGGACAGAGCTGGGGGAGGGGGTGAGAACTGCTGACCCCATTATACTACTGCCAAGATCACCGTCCTGATCCACCCATGAGCATATGCACACTCACACCAGACTGGGAAAGAAACTGGGGCCTTCAGACCTTGGGAAGCCAGCCCAGGAAAAGTCCCATCAGTGATTGTCCAAGAAAATCTGCCAACTAGAAATTCTGGAAGGTCCTGGAGAGGCCAGATAATTCTCCCCCACCCCCACTCCCCATCTACCCCCAGTGGGTTAGTGCTGCCTTCCCCACTCCAGTTAGTGCAGGAATAAGCAAGGGTCAAGGCTGCTAGAACCAGCAAACACGGGGAATGAAGCAGCATAGGCCTCAACTCTCTGGACCTACCTTCAGGGTTAGTTCACGCACTGTGACTTTTATTGAGTGTTCCACATTAGATGATGATCTTGGCATGAGGTTAGGCCCTATATTCCTGATATCTCCCTTTCCCTCCTTCAAAAGAGGGTCACAATCTCAGTCTCCATTCTTAATGACCAAGGTAAGAGGTGCCTAGAAACCTGTCAGGTAAATGGAACATAATAGGCATTGTGGCCGACCTCCATTTAGCCCCCATGTTGCTGAACTTGGATGTGCCAAGCTGGTCCTATCTTATAATCTACCCCTTAGCCAGATCTGTTAACATTTTAATAAATGATTTTCTACTTTCCCAGGAAGGAGGGTCTACCTTTGGTCTCCTGGGGAAAATCTTCCAACAAAAAGGTTTTCCTTACATGCATCTTAAATTATTTTGTTATAGGTCTAATTACACATAGTAACATGTACCTATAATCCCAGTGACTTGGAGGGCTGAGGCAGAAGATTAAAAGTTTGAGGTCAGCTTCAACAACTTAGCAAGACCCTATCTCAAAAGGGCCAGGGGAAAAAAAATTTTTCCCCGGTATCAGGGGGAAAAAATCATGTTGTCTATTTGAGACCTCTGAATGTGTGGAAGAAAAATAAATCATCCAAACACCATCCCTGCAGAAACTCTGTGTCCCATACCCCACCTCCCACTCTGCCCCTTTATATCTTGCCAGGAGAATCAATCCCATGGCTTCTCGATTCCAAGATATCATTTTCCATGTCTGTGGCCGCTGAGATCTCTCCAGGTTTTCTGTGTCCCTCATGTATGACGGGTACAACCTTTATGTGGTTCCTATTTTCTGATGCCCTCTGCCAGTAAGGCTTCCTAGTTTGAAGCTCTGGCCTAGCACCCACTCCTCACCCCCACAGATTGAATATTTCTAGGAAAAGTCCTTGGAGAGCTCACGCATTTGAACTGTACACTGTCTTTCTACCAGTTAAAGCTCATATTGTACCCATTGCAGCAACTCTGGTCACACAGGTAATAGTAGATTTCACTCCTACCTGACAGAAAACTCATTTACTCTGGGAACCTAATTTAACAGTGGGAAGCTCAGGCCAATTGGGAGTGGACAGAAATGGCAGAGCCCCTGCATAGAAGGGAAGGCAAGTTTCTCCCCAAATCCAAGGGGTGAACACTGGAGTGGGAGGAAGTAATAATAATGTTGAGAGTGGGGAAGCCAGAAAGGCAGAGACGTAATAGAGAAGTGGTCAGAAGGCAGAAGAAGAAGCAGAGGAGACAGACCGTCCCGGACCCATCCCCTCCCCTGCAAGACTAGGGGGATAAGGGGGAAAGTCTCAGGGTTATACTTACTGAAACTGCCCCTAACCTTGCAGTCCACATTTGGGACCAGGAGGGAGACCTCCCTACTATTCCAGGGCAATCTATACCCAGGTGAGAATTGCTGCCTCTCCCCTGAGTGTCAGGAGGAGAGGCTGCCTTGGCTGTCCCAGGCAAACTCCTGATGAGGCCAGGGCAGAAGGAAGAACAACAAGCCTGAGAACAGCTGGAGGGGTGGAGAGCACTTCCCTGGAGAAGAAAAGTCTTGGGCAGAGAAACCAGATGAAATTTACCCTCTGGATACTTGTAAAAAGTACAATGCTTTCATCCAGTTGAGCTGAAAACAGACCAGTGGCAATGGCACCCCTGGCCAGACGGATGGAAATGAGGCTGGAGGCTTGCGCAGATGCCCAGAACCTCCTTTAAAGAGCTCGAGGAATGAGAAGCCCTCCAGACATTTAATTTGAAAACACAAATAGGGAGCCCTTCAGAGGGAGGCTGTCCTAGTGGCCATACCCTCTCCCCAGAAGAGGGTCTGCTGTGAATGTGGTTACCACAGCAGGCCATGGGCAGGGATGAGCATATGGAGCAGTGAGTCTGACTTGGTGAGGACTAGGGAGGGGAGACAGCAGGTCTGCAGCTTCACCTTGACAGACCAGAGCTGGGGGGAAACAGGGAGGGTGTGCAGGTGGCCTCCCAGGCTCCTGAGCTTCCAGCTGACACTTAGGGTAGTCCTGGAGCTGAGGGAGGGTCTGTTGCCTACTGAAGTCTCCGAGCTTCAGGCTTTGCCTCCTAACTCTATGTCATGGAGGGAAAGTTAAGAACATTCAGTCCAGAAATCTGCTGACCAGGGTCATCTGCTTTGCCTTGACCATTCTGTGCTGCTGTTCTCCTCAGGCAAGGACATGGGGGTGGGAAAGGGAGGATGACTTAATGACATGCAGGTCACATGACTCAGAAACACACAGGCTGTGACCTATACTGCTCCCCAGCTCAGTAACCTTGGGAAAGTGATTCCATATCTGTGGTCCTCCAGTTTCTCATCTATCAAAGAAAGAAGGTTGATCTGGGGAACACCCAGCCACCCAGCTGCCCAGCCAGTCTACAAAAATAACTAAAAACAAAGACACAGAGTAGATGAACTCAATCCTTGATGCAACCTCTCCTTTCCTTTTTCTAGGTCTCTGTCCACACCCAACCCCTCCACCCCGATCTTGCCCACAGTAGGTTACACAGATAATCCAGAGATTCACCTTTTAAAATTCTCAGGTCTTCATGATAATAGTTGCACTTCAGTTCCCACTGAAGTATGTTCAGTTACTTGAAGGATCTGTGTCTTTTAAAAGGATCACTTGGAACCTAGACTCTTTTAATGATTATGGTCAGTTTAGGAGAGAGATCATTCATTCTTTGTGAAGTAATCTCTTGGTGCTTTTATGAATTCCCAAACTGTATCTGAAGGTACTTCCTGGTCTGTTGGCTTTAGGATCCTGAAGGCTATTTGAGACAGGCTCACTAAATTGCCTAGGCTGACTTTGAAATTGCGATCCTTCTACCTCAGCCTACTAGGTAGCTGGGATTACAGGCATGCACCATCATGTCTGCCTCCTTACTGACTTTTTGTTTGTTTGAGGGGTGCTGGGGATTGCTAGGCAAGCACTCTGCCACTGAGCTACAGCCTCAGCCCTTACTGACTTATTGTCAATGTGGACCTAACGCCCACACCTATGCCTACACCTGGGTTTTTAGAGGACTCCAAGTCCCCAGAGGGAACCAGCCTCCCTCCCCCAGGCTTCCAGAGGAAAGAATAAATAAATGAAGCCTCGGGAGGTCTATGGTTGCTGACCCAGTGGTCAGGGGCTTCCCAGGAGGTGAGAGAGACTGTGGGTGTCTTGAGAGAGACCAGATGGCAGCTTATGAAAAATTGACACCTGGACCCCACCCCTGGAAAGTCTGAGTCAATAGGTAGGGCAGGACCAGCATATTTCAGTTTCACCAGCTCCCCAGGTGATTCAGATGTTTAGCCAGAACCGTGCAGTATAGAGATCAAGAGCAGGGCTTCCAAGCCAGACCTTGGGTGAGACACTTCATCTTTCTAAGCCTTGATTTCCTCATCTATAAAATGAGGATAATGAGAGTTCCTGCCTCCAGGGTTGAGAATTGATTGAGATCTGCAAGTGAGCTCCTGCTCCTCACTCCTCCACCCTGACATTCCTCCACGACATTCCTCCACCGCTGCCATTTCCTTTCCAGCATGACCCCTCTCCCTAAACCCCACCCCCACCCCACCCAGGCACCGGAAGCCTGGCAATCTGAGGTTTATCACTGAGCCCCAAGTGTCTGGAACCTGTAATTCCTCCTGGTCCTGATCCTGACAGCTCACAGGAGTCAGAGCCTCATCCTTGGGCTCTTTGGAGTCCAATGGCAAAAGGTACTGGTGAAGAAAGCTAGCTAAATAGGTCTTAGAAGACAGTGTGGCAGATGAACCATGAAGGGAACAGCTCAAGCAACATGTGCTTCTGGGTGGCAAGTTCTATGTAATATCTCCATGTAGAGATAGGGAAACTGAGGCCAGCAAAGTTTATCTGCTCAAGAGATTCAGTCCATATCTGTCTGAGTTTTGCATTATTTTCTATTTCTTCCCATGAAGGATTTGAGTTTACCCAGTAGATATTTATTGAGTGTCCACTATGTGTCAGGCCCAGTGATACAACAGTGAGAAAACTCCAACTTAGTGGTGTTGACATCCTAGATAGAGGAAACATCATAGAATAAATAAAATGTCTAGTAGATAGATGATGATAAATGATGGCAAGAAAATACAGCAGATGCAGGCTGACAAGTGTGGAGGTTAGAGGAAATTGGGCTACAGATTTCAATAAGACCAAGGGAACCCGCTCTGAGAAAGTGTCAACTAAGCAAAAATGGAAAGGAGGGGAGGATGCAAGCCATCAAGCCAGGCAGTGAGCTGGGAGAGGAATGTTCCAGGCTGCAATAACAGCAAGAAAAATGGCCCTGAGGCAAGAGTATGTCCTGTTTTGAGGAACAGCAAGGATTCCAGAGTGGCTGGAGAGGTGAGCAAGAGACAGGTCAGAGGAGGTGCAGCAGGCCAAGTCACAGGGCCTAGAGGCCTCTGGAAGGACTCCAGCTTTTACTCTGAAAATCATGGGAAATCCATAAGAAACACACTACATAGACACACACACACACACACACACACACACACACACAAGGTCCCCCACCTACCTGCTTTGCAAGAACCTGACATCCTAGAGAACATTGGGGAGAAATCTAATTCTTTCTCCCCTTCCTCTCTCAAAGAATAAAATGAAGGCTTGGCACACATACCCTCTCTGACACAGGCCAGTTCCTGCTTCTAAGGAACTGACTCCAAGGTGAACTGCTGGTGGCGCAGCATTGCTTGATTGCACTTGGTGTGCATAAGAGAGCACAGGGGCTGTGGGACAGAAGAGGAACAAAGGCCTTGTCTCCAGACTCACAATCCAGTTGGAGAGAGAGGTTCAGGGTCAATATTCTAATAGGGAGCCAGCTCTTGAAGCCAGGCTACCTAGTTCCAACCTCAGCTTTGCCATTTATTCTTAAATTCTCCAAACCTCAATATCTTTATCTGAAAAACAGAAATATTTGTGTAGCAAGGTGGTGGTAGAGGCTAGAACTGGATAATAAAAAGCACCTCGGGGGGCTGGGGATGTGGCTCAAGCGGTAGCATGCTCGCCTGGCATTTGTGCGGCCCGGGTTCGATCCTCAGCACCACATACCAACAAAGATGTTGTGTCCGCCGAGAACTAAAAAATAAATAAATATTAAAAATTCTCTCTCTCTCTCTTTCTCTCTGTCTCTCTCTCTCTCTCTCTCTCTCTCTCTCCTCTCTCACTCTCTCTTTAAAAAAAAAAAAGCACCTCGGGACTGAGATGTGACTCTGATAGAGCACTGGCCTAGCCTGCGTGAGAGACTCTGGGCTTCATCCACAGTATCTTTTTTGTTGTTATTGTTAATATTTATTTTTTGGTGTAGATGGACACAACACAATGCCTTTATTTTTATGTGGTGTTGAGCATTGAACCCAGGCCCCGCCCATGCTAGTCCAGCGCTCTTCTGCTGAGCCACAATCCCAGCCCCATCCACAGCATCTTAAAAAAGAAAGAAAAGAAAAACACCCTATACGGTGGCTATCACATAGTGAGTGCACAATTTGCACAATAGTGACTTTTTTTTTAAAGAGAGAGAGAGAAAAAAATTTTTAATATTTTTAGTTTTCAGTGGACACAACATCTTTATTTTATTTTTATGTGGTGCTGAGGATCAAACCCAGCGCCCTGCGCATGCCAGCCGAGCACGTTACTGCTTGAGCCACTTCTCCAGCCCAATAGTAACTTTTTAATCATCACACTGTCTGTGATAAGTGCTATAACAGAATTGCCCCAGAACATTTTTAAAAATTTATTTTTACAAGATTTCAAATTTCAACCCCTTAGTTCTAATATCGTGAATCTGTTCAACAGACCCATGTTTTCCCTGCACACCGTCCTGACCACCACCATCCCATCCAACCTCGCTCCATCTCACAGACCATTTTTCATGAATCTTCTTTGAGCCCTCTCCAGGCCCCTTCAGTCTGTTAAGGGGCCCTTCGTTGATCAGACACTCCTGGGTGCCAGGCACACCACAGCCTGAACACTGAGTCTATGATGGAAACTGTGATAAGTTCAAGGCTGCTGCCTCCCTGCAGATAGCCCAGCACTGTGGGAAATACCTGGGCTTTGAAGTCTGACCGAGCTGGATTGGAATCCCAAGCCCTTGCTCACTGTGGGTCCTTGGGCAAGTTAATGGACCCTGTGAGCCTCAGTGTTCTATCTATAGAAAGAAGACACTGACACCTAATCAAGTAGTTGAAAGCATGGCTGCCAGGGTTGGAATCCCAGCTCTACCAGTTCTGCCAGCTGAGAAACATCTCAGAGCCTCAGGGTTTTTTTTCATCTGTAAAAGAGGATATGAATAGTCAGTAGGGAGGTTAATGAATGATGTGTAAAGTGCTTAGCTCAGTGCTTGGCACCTGGTACGTAGATATGTTTTAGTTATTATTGAACTGAACAGTGTACAGAGGACTCAGCCAGGATGGGGGTGCTGATGAGCAGGGAGGTGGGCACAGTACTTTAGCCCAATTTTGTTTGGAGTGCAGAAAGGCAAACTGCCACTCTGTCTCAGGTGCTGTCCCACAACCTGTACACGGTCCTGCATATCCCCCATGACCCTGTGGCCCTGGAGGAGCACTTCCGAGATGATGATGATGGTCCCGTGTCCAGCCAGGGCTACATGCCCTACCTCAACAAGTACATCCTGGACAAGGTGGGCCTCACTTTGTGGGACACTTCTAACCTCTCCCCACTTCTTCAGCCTGGCCAGCACCCCAATACCTTGCTACTCCAACTCTTCCGTATCCCCCAGTTAACCCCCACTTCTGCCCCCTTTGTCCATCCTTGTTCTCCCAGCCATCACATCCCAGCCATCTGTCCCCTTCTTGTCCCACTCAGCTCACCCTCAGTGTCTCCCCTCTCTATCCTAGCCTCCACCCTAACCACAGCCTTTCCACCCCATCCCTGCCCAAACCTACCTCTGGCTCCCAGCTTAATGTCACCCCGCTCCCCTCACCTCTCATTCTCTTCCCAGGTCTCCTTGACCATCCACTCCCCCTGAGCCTCTCTCTTCCTTCTTCCTTTGGACTGAGGGAATGACATTTCTTTGTCAGCAGGGCACTTGGGCGGGTGTGGTATGTTGGGGAGTGGTTGGGAGATTGGAACCAGCTAGTTACCTGGTAATCGGCTCAGGGATTCCTCATATTCAGCTGGACTTGGCAGGGTGGGGAGCAGGAATATAAATGAACACAAGTAACCCAGCTGGAGCCTTGTTTGGTGGTAGATCAGGGATGGGACAAATGGCTGACTGGCAGGCCTGGTGGCAGGTGGAAGAGGGGGCTTTCGTTAAAGAGCACTTTGATGAGCTGTGCTGGACCCTGACGGCCAAGAAGAACTATCAAGCAGATAGCAACGGGAACAGCTTGCTCTCCAATCAGGATGCCTTCCGCCTCTGGTGCCTCTTCAACTTCCTGTCTGAGGACAAGTACCCTCTGATCATGGTTCCTGATGAGGTGAGGGTGACGGCAGACCCGGGGACTGAGTCACTGGGGCCAGGCCCCGACAACACCATGAAGGAAGCCAATCACTTTCCGTACCCTCCCACTTCCTCTCCCTTCATTGTCTCCCCATGCTGGTACCTGTCCCCACTCAGCTGTCTCCAGATATCTAGAACTACCCATGTTGGAGCAATTGTGCCTTCTTCCAGAACCAAAAAGTACACTTCTCTCAAGGTTCTGCTAGTCCTCACAGAAGGAAAAATGGTCGGCAAACTTCATTAAACAGAAGTGTTTGATGATATGTTGCTGAGCATTTTTAAATGAGAACATTTAAGGTCAAATATTGGGATTTTAGGAACTGTGATAATCTAGTAGGTGCTTTGTAACGGGATGGGAGACCTTGGAAGATGGGAGACCAGGAAATAACTTCAGTTACTCAAGGTGGGCAACAAAGTCTAGCCCTAGTTCCAGATTTTTCCTATCTCTTTTTTTTCCCCCCCTGGAGAGTCAGGGCTGACTCAAGGGCCCAGAGAGACAGCATCCTTAGAGAAGAGGCCAGGAACATAGCCATTACCTCCTTTAGCTCATGGGTAAAAACCAAGAGCAGTCATTTTCTTTTCCTATCCACCCTCCCTCTTTGGCACACTTCTCTCCTCTGCCCATTCAGCCTTCTCCTACCCTTTGGTCTGGTGGGGGCTATAGCAGCACAAGGGTGAATTTAGGTCTTCATAGTAGGGTGCACAAAGGAGGGTATGTCCTACCATGTCAGGCTGGGGATTTAGCTCAGTGGTTAAGAGCTTGTCTAGCATGTGTGAGGCCCTGAGTTCAATCCCCAGCACCACACACACACACACACACACACACACACACACACACACACAAGTCATGTCTAACAATTGTGGAAAGAGTGGGAAAGCTACCTAATGAGAGTTTCCAAAGATGCTGGAGCAAGAGAGGGACACGTGTCCATCTGAGTGGACAACCTTGTCAGATTCCTTGCCAGTGAGGGCAAAGTGGCCTCTCAGAGGCCAGAAGGCCTCTTGCTGCTATTATCAACATGCAGTGAGAACAAACTGCAGCAGGATATACCCCAACCACCACTTCCTGTTCCTCTGAAATGGGTTTCCTGTCCCTGCCTTTCTTACTCCCACCCCCAACCCCCTGCCTTCCCACAGGGCAATGATACAGGGTTGGGGATTGGGGTTTGGAATAAGGACCCAAATGGGAATCTGGAGATCCAAATGGAGTTCTGGCTGCCCCCAACTTGCTATGTGACTTAAAACAAGTTACCTCCCACTTTGGGCTTTGGTTTTGTCATCCACAAAGTAAGGGCATGAAATGAGAGTTTTATGCCATCTCTGACTTGTTTATGAGTCGCTGCCTCTGCCTGGCCCTCAGCTCTCAGCTCCCACCTTCACCCTGCCCTTAATTTAAAATAGGAAGAAGTAGGACTGGGGCCGGGAAGGGAACGAGGATGCTTGAGTTGGGAGTAGGGCTCCAGGGTTCCCTCCGGAATCTCCATCCTGGTCTCCCTTGGCATTGTCCTCTGGCCCTCCCAACCCCTTGTCCTTCATCCCCTCTACCAGGCTCTAGGACCCCAGATGGAATGCCCCTGGTGTTGGTGTGGCAATATAGCCTGCTGCTGTCACCAGGCCTTCCCTTTCCCCTTCCAGGTAGAATACCTGCTGAAGAAGGTACTCAGCAGCATGAGTTTGGAGGTGGGCTTGGGCGAGCTGGAGGAGTTGCTGGCCCAGGAGGCCCAGGCAGCCCAGACCACCGGGGGACTCAGTGTCTGGCAGTTCCTGGAGCTCTTCAACTCTGGCCGCTGCCTGCGGGGCGTGGGACGGGACACCCTCAGCATGGCCATCCATGAGGTCTACCAGGAGCTCATCCAAGATGTCCTGAAGCAGGTCAGCCAAGCTGGGAACCAAGGAGAACACCAGGAGGGTGATGGGGGACCTGGGAATCTCTAATTTGACTCTGACCAGCAGGGCTACCTCTGGAAGCGGGGGCACCTGAGGAGGAACTGGGCAGAACGCTGGTTCCAGCTGCAGCCCAGCTGCCTCTGCTACTTTGGGAGTGAAGAGTGCAAGGAGAAAAGGGGCACCATCCCCCTGGATGCCCACTGCTGTGTGGAGGTGAGGGCATGAGGGAAAGGCAGAGGACACCTCAGGGCCCAGAGGGTTCCTGGGGTGGTGGGAGGAAAAGGGGGTCAGGGGGAAGAATGGAGGAAACACCCATTTCTGCTAGGTTCGTGTAACCCAAATATACCTGGGTGCCTCCAGGCCATTCTCGTGCATGTCAGACTCCAAAAGAACTAAAACCAAATACTAATATAAATACCAAACTCAATAGTGAATAATGTGGATTTTGCTAAAGATTTCAGAGAAGATGGTTTATATCCACACTTCATAGCAAATCCTTTTTTAAAATCCTCTTAAGAGGACTTTCTCCTTCATCTAAATTCCATACCTCCCTATCCTCACCCCCTATTCCTTCTCCCTCTTCTCTTCCATTCTCTCTTCCCTTAGTTATGTTCATTATTATTTTAGAGACTTAAAAAAAACAGTATTTTAGGGTCAGGTACGGTGGTGCATGCCAGTAATCCCAGCAGCTAGGGAGGCTGAGGCAGGAGGATAGCAAGTTCAAAGCTAGCCTCAGCAGAAATGAGGCTCTAAGCACTCAGTGAGACCCTATCTCTAAATAAAATACAAAATAGGGCTGTGGATGTGGCTTGGTGGTCAAGTGCTCCTGAGTTCAATCCCTAGTACCAATAAATAAATAAATAAAATTTTAAAAACAGTATTTTAAATGGTAGATATATAAATATATCCATATATTTGTGTCAGTATATATATCTCCATATATATCAGTATATGTGTGTGTGTATATATATATATATATATATATATATATATATATATATGAAATTTTGCCATTTTAACAATCTTAGGTGTACAATTCAATGGCATTAAGTACTTGCAATATTGGGCCATCATCATTATTACATATTTCCAGTTTTTTTTAATCACCCCAAACAGAAACTCTGTACTCTTTTAAGCACCAACTGTTCATTCCCTTTTCTCTTCAGCCCTTCATAGCCTCTATTACACTTTGTCTCAAATTTGCCTATCCTAGGTACCTTATGTCAGCAGAATTATACAATATTTTTCATTTTGTGACTGGCTCATTTCACTTAGCATCATTTCCAAACTTCATCTTTGTTGTGGAATGTATAGGAATTTCCTTCCTCTTTAAGGCTGAATAATATTCCACCAGATGGATATACCATATTTTGTTTATCCATTCATCTGTTGATGGACATTTGGGTTAGTTCCACTGTTTTGCTATTGTTAACAATGCTATTATGTATGAGTTTCTATGTGGACATGTTTTCCTTTCTCTTGGGTATACACATTCTAGGAGAAGAAATGCTGGATTGTGTGGTAATTCTAACTTTGGGGTAACTGCAAATGTTTCTTCAGCAGTATACCATTTTACACTCTTACCAGTGGTATATAAGGATTCCAATTTCTCTAATCCTTGTCAACTCTTGTTATTTTACATTTAAATTGTTGCTATCCTAGGCTCTGTCCATTTTTGTCACATAAGGAAATAGATGTTGCTATGGAAAGAACATAGATGGAGGTGAAACTCCCAGCTTCTCCACTAACAGGCAGTGTGAATTGCACACTTCCTGGAACCCTTGGCACCACAGTCTCTTTCTCTGTCAAGTAGAGCCAATAATGCCTGTCTGGCAAGGGTGAGGGGGAGTAGTGGATAAAATGGTCCACATAAAACACTAGAAGAGGCCAAGGAAGAGGAGCTGCTGCAGCTGCAGCAGTTGCAGGAGGAGAAGGAGCGTAAGCTGCAGGAGCTGGAACTGCTGCAGGAGGCGCATAAGTGTTGGAACATAAGGAGCTCAATGTGTAGCAGCAGCTGTGATTTTCCACAGAATGCAAGCAGAGTGAAGGCAGGGACTTGTTCCCTTAGGCGCACCTTAGTATCCCCAAACCCTAAAACACCGAGTTGCATTCAACAGATGCTCCAAATACCTGTGGGATGAATGGACTTTCTCACTAGGCAGGGTTACAATCAAACGAGTGGCATGGGGAGGCCCCTGTGACTGGAAGTGTTCAAGCCTGTACTATGTACTAGGCTCTGTGGAAAGATACCAAGGTGAAAATGGCCCCATCCAGTCTTAGAAGGGCAAAGGCTAGAGCTAGGGAATCTCAAGTACCTCTGCCACTAATCCTCCGGCCCACTCAGGCTCCTGGGAAGAAAGTCAGCTAGGAGAGGGAGGGACTTGAGCTGGGGCACCTCTTGGCCAGGTGTGGCCCAGACCTCAGTGAGGCTAGCCGGGCTGGGGCCACCTGCCCTCTCTCAGGTGCTGCCTGACCGCGAAGGAAAGCGCTGCATGTTCTGTGTGAAGACCGCCAGCCGCACCTATGAGATGAGCGCCTCAGACACGCGCCAGCGCCAGGAGTGGACAGCGGGTAAGCGCTCGGTGGGTGAGGGCTGTGTCTGGTTTGGCGTCAGTTGCCCCATCTTTGAAAAAGGGGTGATAGGACTGGCGAGGTAGCTCAAAAGTAGAGCACTTGCCTCGAATGAGCGAGGCCCTGGGTTCCACCCTCAGCACCAAAAATAAATAAATAAAGACAGAAAAAGGGGGTGATAGTGATAATATTCAGCTCGGCGGGAGCTAGAAATTGGACTTGAGAGACTCCTTAGGCCCAGGTGATCCTCTCCCGCTCCGCCCGCAGCCATCCAGACCGCGATCCGGCTGCAGGCGGAGGGGAAGACATCGCTGCACAAGGACTTGAAGCAGAAGCGGCGCGAACAACGGGAACAACGGGAGCAGCGCCGGGCGGCCAAGGAAGAGGAGCTGCTGCGGCTGCAGCAGTTGCAGGAGGAGAAGGAGCGGAAGCTGCAGGAGCTGGAACTGCTGCAGGAGGCGCAGCGACAGGCGGAGCGGCTGCTGCAGGAGGAAGAGGAGCGCCGTCGCAGCCAGCACCGGGAGTTGCAGCAGGCCCTGGAGGACCAATTGCGGGAGGCGGAGCAGGTGATGTCAGCCCTGGGGGCGGGGCCTGGAATGGAGGGCGGGGCGGAGGGGTGAGCGTTGAGACGAAGTTTGGAATGGGGACGGTCAGAACAGAGCCATGGACTTAAAGTGGCATAGGAGACCCAGACTGTGATATGGGTGGGACTTGTGGCTAAGGAAATAGAGGGCAGGGTGGGAACATGGCCAAGGGATGGCTAGAGATGAGGGATGGTGTGAAGTGGGGAGAGAGGACTGAGTGACAGGTGTAGAATGGGGCCATATTCTGAAGTCTTTCCCAGGGGACTCAGCTTGGACTCAAGGAGCAGCTGAAGACTGAGTGAGAATAGTTTGGACTAAGGTTGGACTAGACCTGAACTGAGATCTGCAGGAAGGCAAATAGATAGGACTTTTCTGGAGGCGGACTAGGCCTGCAAAGGCTATTAGATTTAGGATTTGAAAGATCTGGTCTAGTGTCAGAGACAGGTGGATTCAATCCAGTTCTGCCTTCTAGGAGCCATGTTATTTCAGGGAATTTACTCAGCTTCTCTGTGCTTTATTTACCTAAGAGTAAATGTTGATATTGATAGAACTTTGCTCATGGAGGTAGGGTAAGGATTAAGAGAGGAAACACTTGTAAAGTGTTCAATAATTTTTGGTTGTTGTAATAATAATTATAGCCACCTTCTTTCTAACACCAGCCATAATGATATTATAATATATATCATAATTATTAGGGCTGGTGCTAAGAAATGATCATATTTTAATTTAATGTTATTTAATTGTAATATAACATACTATGTTATTTAATGGATATAATAATATGTAATTTGTGGGGTGGTACTAGGGATCAAACCTAGGGCCTATGAACATGCTAGGTGAGTGCCCTGCCTTTGAGCTATATCCAGGGCTCTAATTATTATTACTAAAGGTAGTGCTAGGAAGGAAATGACAGGCATCTGTTCATTCTCAGAAAGGGGTCAGATCAGGAAATCACAAAATAAAGGAATCCCCCAGTCCCTCACTCCCAGGTAGCCTGGTAGAGAAGCCCCAGGGAACCGCAGGACACAGTCACCAAATTCCCCAGCCTTCCCATTTCCCAACCATTTACCACCCCCAACCCGTCTGCTGCAGGCTCGAGCCTCCATGCAGGCCGAGATGGAGCTGAAGAAGGAGGAGGCTGCCCGGCAGCGGCAGCGCATCAAGGAGCTGGAGGAGATGCAGCAGCGGTTGCAGGAGGCTCTGCAACTGGAGGTGAAAGCTCGGCGTGATGAGGAGGCAGTGCGCCTCGCCCAGACCAGGTAGGCCTGAGGGGCCCTTTCCTGCTTTTTCAATACGCCCACTACTGAGCAGCTGTGAGGTGCCTAGGCCCTGGAGAGACACCGTGCACTTCCGACAGACTGCTGGAGGAGGAGGAGGAGAAGCTGAAGCAGTTGATGCAGCTGAAGGAGGAGCAGGAGCGCAACATCGAACGCACGCAGCAGAAGAAGCAAGAGCTGCAGCAGGAGATGGCGCTGAAGAGCCGCTCCCTGCAGCAGGCCCAGCAGCAGCTGGAGGAGGTGCGGCAGAACCGGCAGAGGGTCGACGAGGACGTAGAGGTGAGGCCCTGGAACTGGATGGAGGGCGAGGTGGGCATGTCATCCAGAGCCAAAGTGCCATCCCTCAGACCCTGGCGTTATCTTCATCTGACTGTGTGACCTTGGTAGGCTGCCTAACCGCTCTTCATTTTTAGTCCTCCATCTGGAAAGGAAACTATTAATTCAATTGTTATGAAAAATAAAGAGATGTAATACATGATTTTTAGTAAAACTACTGAAGAAACATTGCTGCTATGTTTATTATTATTAATCTGACTGGCTGTGGAGGTACACCCTTGCAATCCCAGCTACTCAGGAGACTGAGGCAGAAAAATCTGAAGATAGAGACCTACCTGGGCAATTTAGGAAACCCAGCCTCAAAATAAAATTAAAAGGGCTGGGGAGTCCCTCAGTGGTCTAACTCTTGCCTAGCATGCATGAGGTCCTGGGTTTGTTGCCCAGCACAGCAAAATCAAATCAATCATTAATCTAGGCAGAATATTTTCCTCCTATTCTTCCAAGCCTTTGTCTTATTTGATCTTCACTCCCTGAAGTATAAATCTCCATAGAAGAGGCTTTAAATTTTTCTATTTTAATTTTTTTAAAGAAAGAGAGAGAGAGAGAGAGAGAGAGAGAGAGAGAGAGAGAGAGAGAGAGAGAGAGAGAGAGAGGTTTTTTTTTTAATATTTATTTTTTAGTTCTCAGCTTTCGGCAGACACATCTTTGTATGTGGGGCTGAGGATCGAACCCAGGTCGCACGCATGCCAGGCGAGCGCGCTACCACTTGAGCCACATCCCCAGCCCTATATTTTAATTTTGATCTTTTATTTTTATTAATATTGATGATTTTATTTTGGCTTTATTGGCTTATGAAATCACTGCAAAAAATTTAAACAATACAGAAATATGCAACATAGGAAAGGACAGTTCCTTCATGATCTACCCACCTCACAACTACTGCCAACGATTTGTATATATTGGTGCAGAGGTTCCTGCATTAGTTCAGTGGTTTAGAATTCAGCGTGTGTCCTTGGGAAAACCTCTTTGTGTGTGTGTGTGTGTGTGTGTGTGTGTGTGTGTGTGTGTGGTGGTGGTGCTGGGGATTGAACCCAGGGCCTTGTGCATCTGAGGCAAGCACTCTGCCAACTGAGCCATATCCCCAGCCCCTCTTAACCTCTTTTGAACTTGTCTGTTGCTAAGTTCTGCTCTGTAAATTAAGATTAATATTCTTAGCACATCTAAGCTGCTCAATAAATAGAGACTATTATTATAATAGATTATTTTTTACTCTTGAGGGCCCAAGAGCCCCCTAAAATTGGAGGCAAACTGTTCATCTACATAAATCTTTATGAACATTCATGGGTTTCTAGGGAGGTAATTAGTAGCCTGGTCAGATTCTAAGGGGCTGTGAACCTGAAAAGATCAGGATCACCAGCCATGGATGGTGGCTCTGACCCATTCCCCACTGACCCTGCCCTCACAGGCTGCTCAGAGGAAGTTGCGCCAGGCCAGCACCAACGTGAAACACTGGAATGTCCAGATGAACAGGCTCATGCATCCAATTAAGCCTGGAGGTAAGAAGGGGTAGACTGGGACTTTCCCTGGGGTTGGGAGTGCAAGGGAAGAAAAAAGGGATGCCTCCAGACCTCCTGGGCTGGCAAGGTGGGACTGAAAGTCACATGCCCTTGCCTTTGCCCTTCACATGTGTTTTTTGCGGTCTTTTCCAGATAAGCGTCCAGTCACCAGCAGCTCCTTCACAGGCTTCCATCCCCCTGTACTTGCCCGCCGAGATTCCTCTCTAAAGCACCTGACCCGCTGGGGATCCCAGAGAAACAGGACCCCCTCACCGAACATCAGTGAACCAAAGTCCCTCAATGGTGGGGATGAGACTCCAGTCCCGGCCTCCACCACTCAAGAAGATAATCTGGATCCCCCACCAGAAAATTAGCCTCTCCTAGCCCCTTGTTGCTTCCAACATCATGTCCACCAGGACCTGGCCACAGCTGGCCTGTGGATGACACTGGCCCCTGAAAGGAGAGGGAGCTGAGGTCCTGGTGCCAGGGACCCAGGAGACTGTCCAGGGACCCAGGACCCCTCCAACCAGGAGACTGTCCAGGATGGAACATGGTTTGTCTCTTGTACCAGTCCTAAGCCCCAGACGATGGCTGAGACTGTCTGATGTGTTAATATTTGAGAACTTGGCCCTGTGCTTTAGCCCCAAGGACCAATGACCTGGACTGGGAAAGAGAGCGAACAAGCAAAACAAGGGCCATCGGCCCGCAAGCTGCCACTAAGTTGTAGAGGCATTTTTCCAAATAAAAACTGTTCTTAGAAGGAATTATTAGCTCAGGTCTGTCTCTCTCTCCTACCATTCCCTCTTTTCTTCCCTCAAGTCCATTTATAGGTTCCAAAGGCAGTGGGTACAGTGAAATGGTTAGGAATGTGGGCTATAGAGCTAGACTGCCTGGGGTCTGCACCCAACTCTGCCTCTTTCTAACTGATTGACTTTGGTGAAGTTTCTTCACATTTGTATCCTCCAGTTTCTACATTGGTAAAATGAAGGTACTACTAAAACCTACTCTAGAGGGTTGTGTGAGGACTAACTGCTTGGCATATGGGCAAGCACTATCACTGAAATCAGCCAAAAATGTTTATTGAGCATCTACTGTGTCCTGAAATTTCCCAGTTTATTTAATTCTCATGACAACCTGAAGAACCAGATTATCTTTTTCATTTTACAGATAGACAATTGAGGCTCAAGGAGGTTAGCTAATTTTCCCAAAGCCTCACAAACTTGCTTTTCTTCCTGTGTTCTCTGACTCACTGACCTTGTTACCTTAGACAAGAGATATGGGAATCTAGAATCTGGGAAGATTTGTTTCTTTCTCAAACCCCTCACCCCAAACCTATCATCAAATCCTGTAGCTTCTGCTATATACTCTCCTATCTGTCCCTCCATTTCCATACTTATGGCCAGCCACTGCCACGGCTGAGACCTTTGACTATGCTACCTGGGTGTTAACTTTTGACTCTGACTTCCTCATGCCCTATACTTAATAAATCACAAAGTCCACTCAGTCCTATCCAAGAGTGCTGATAGTCAAGTTCACATTCCCATATATGGCAGGGGAGGCCCAAGACAATCTGACCCTTGTAGATTTACTTTCAGCTTCCTCTTTTTCTTCCTGGATGCCCCATCTGGCTATAACAGGATCCAGGACAAATTGATGAGTTCCTTGAAGACAGGGACATATATTCTTCAACTATGTCCCCAAAATCTAGCACAGTGCTTGTCTCATAGAAGATATGCAACAAATATTTATTGAAGGAATATATAAATGCATAAATTCTGAAGTTGAATGGCTAAAGGTCACACAGCTAAAAAGTGATAGTGTAGCTAAGGGTCAAACTCGAGTCTATCCATTCATTCAGCAAATCATTATTATACACTTATTATTATATGTTAGGTGTTATACTAGGTGCTAACTACATGGCATGGAACAAAAACAGAGTCCCTGTGCTCCTAGAGTTAATGTGCTACCTGATATCAAAGTTCATGTCTTTTTCAGACACCAATCTGTCAAGCAATCTCATTAAAGGATATTAAAATTATCATGAAGTAAAGCTGCTAATATACCATGATGCAGGTTTCATGGATTGGAAGTGAAGTTAAAACATCAGCTGCTGTGGAAATGTAGAGAAAAGGGAAGCTTTAGGTAGGAGTTGAAATTTGAGAGTGCCTTAATTTTTTTTTCTTTTTCCAATAATGGGGATGGAACACAGGGTCCTGTGCAGCTAGGCAAGCACTCTACCACTTTTTTGAGAAAGGGTCTCACTGAGTTACCAGGCTGAACTTGAACTTGTGATCCTCCTGCCTCAGCCTCCCCAGTTGTCCTGGGATCACAGGCATGTGCAACATGCCCATACCCATGTGCAACATGCCCATACCCATGTTTTTTTTGGTGCTGTCAAACAAACCTAAGGCCTTTTGGTACTAGTAAGCATTTTATTGCTGAGCTACACCTCCAGCCCAGCCTTCACTTTTCAATAGGCAAGAAAGGAGAATAGAAGAACATGGAAACAATGTAAGGAGAAAGAAATACATTGTGAGTACAAAATATCTGGATTCTGAGTATTGGCTGGGAGCATTATGGTCTTATAATAGGAGCTGGGTCTCCCTAGGGAACCAAGAGCTTCGAGAAAATCAATATGTGATCTTAAACTTTCAAATGTTCTCTTTGCCAAAACTGCTTTCTTCTTTCACAGTTTCACCTTCTCTGCTTTCAAAAAGAAGGTTCACTATCACCAATCCACTCTCTTTCAATAGTGGACTGCTCAAAGAGGTTATCCTAGAACACTAAGCAAAGCGACCATTGGGAATGCCAGTGGAAGACCATAGGTGCTGAGAAAGTGAGTGGCTCAAAAGCTGAGTAAAGGGTACTGGGGGTTTAGCTCAGTGGTAGACTGCTTGCCTAGCAGATGTAAGCCCCTGGGTAAGATCCTCAGCACCACATAAAGTTTAATAAATAAAATAAAGGTATTGTATCCATCTACAACTACAAAAAAACATTTTTTAAAAAAAGCTGAGTAAAGTATCATTTTTGCATTCAAGCCAGGAGGTTTCTAAATCTTTGCTTTAAAACAGGAAGAACTTCTAGGCACCAAGGTACACTCCTGTAATACCTGCTACTCAGGAGGCTAAGACAGGAGGACCACAAGTTTGAGGCCAGCCTCAGCAATTTAGTGAGAACTTGTCTCAAAATTAAAAAAAAAAAAAAAAGTGGGTGGGGAGTGGACTGGGAATGTAACCTAATGGTAGAGTGCTGGCCAGCCTGAAACCCAGAGTTCAATTCCCATTCCTGTAAAATAAATAACTAAAAATAAAGACAGAAAGAAAAAGATTTCTATGTGATTTTGCAGGGGACAAATCACTCAGAAAATCAGGTGCCATTTTTTTAATAAGACTCATTTATCATCTATTTATATAAACATTTTCTCAATTTGAAAATGAAAAATTAGGATTAGAATTGATGCTGAATGCACTCTCCTAGCAGTAGATAATACTCAACTACAAATATATGAATGAACAAAGGCTGGGGGGGGGTGGTAAGCTCATTCATTTCATTAAGAGATATATTTACAATACATTTTTGTATTTATGCTTAATATTTATAAAGTTTCTCTTGTTTTAGTCAATTGGGTATTACTAATATTTATAATAGCCACTCAAGCCAGAAGAAAATTGCTCAGAGTTTTATTGTTACCTGAGACAGACTTTCAAACATGAGAATATATTACATAATGAGTTTTTTTAGAGGAAAGTGGAATGGAGACACAAGTATAGGTAGTATTTATAAAATACTAGAAACAACATCCAGCCTTGGCAACATTTTAAAGTAATGAAAAACATTAGCTATTACTTAAAAATGTACAAGGGGCTGAATCATTTGTATATTTTTTTAGGAAGAGAGAGGCACAAACAATTAAAGACCACTACTATGGGGTACCCACGACCGGAAAGGTAGACAGAGAGTAGACTTCAGAGATTCTTGGAAGATACACAGGGTTTAGACTAGAGGTGGTAAGCCAGTCCCTGAGCCTCAGTTTCCCCACTGATAAATGGGGTCTATAACAGGCTTTTGGATGTTCTGTGGCAAGACACAGGGAAGCCTTGAAGGTCAAGTGTGGTACAGTAAGAGGAAGATCACCCCATGCCTGAAAGTGAACCACACTGGGATTGGCATGGGAAGCTGTGGGCAGCTAGTCTGAAGGATTTCGCACACTCCTTCCTGTGATCGGAGAGGCTCTGGGGGTCACTTTTGTAGTGACCTGGATATTGCCAGGATCCTCAAAGTAGCAGAATGTGTCTTCAGATGTAGGCGTGTCACCCCATGGATGGAGCTACACTCACCTGTTCCTTTGGGATATTACCCCTTTGCCCTGTTTGGGATAGAATGTTCCATGGAAACGCCCTTTGTGTGTCCCCTTCTCTTGCTCCACCCTTGGGTGTGGCCTTCCTAGAGGTCAGTCAACCTGTTGACAGTGGACATCAGAAGCTAGACTCAGCCCCCTGAAACCTGACCCCTGGCCTCATTTGAATGGCTTCTCCTCAATAAAGGGGTTTAGCACATGCTCCTCTCTTACTCTCTCTTTCTGCGGACCCTTAAGGTCAGAGGAGCTGTCACAGGACCCCCCCCCCCCAAAAAGGTATCTCTGTCTCTTGTGTGGTTATTTTGCACAGCCCAGTTCCTCTGGAGTGACTCTGAGTGCTTTTGTCACGAGGAATGTGACAGGAAGCTGTCAGTCTTGGGGGACATTTTTGGGGGGCAGTAGTCTTTTAATTCCATGTTAGAAAGGACTCCTCTGTCCTTTTGAACATCCCGACAAAGGAAAAGTGTGTTCTGTCTCTGTTGCCTAAAAAGTTATCCATAAACTCTGGGGGCCACAGGGAAACTGCAGCCATTGTGGTCCCAGCCTATCTCTCTCAGTGGCTTGTATGTTGTAAGGAAAGAACTGAATAAAGGAAATAGCAAGAGAGAGAGGAGGGGCAGCCAAAAGTAACAGGTTTATTTGGGACAAACCTGTAGAGGGGTCCAGTGGAGACTGGAACCCACCCTCCACTTAGCCTAGGGAATTTAGAGAGGAACAAGGGAGTGAGGGAAGTTGTGTGTTTCGGTGGTTGTCAGGGAAGGTTCCTTGTGATTGTCACCTTCATTGTGGCGGTCACTGTTCCATGTCGAACAAAGTGTTTCTCAGGATTTAGTCTGAGGTCAGGTTGAGTCAGAGTTTCCAGGGGTGACTTTTGTTCTATGGTGGAGGATATGTTTCAAAATGGCGTTGTCAAGTTCTCCCTAACATTCTCACTTTGTTTTTTTTCTTTGATAAGAAAGGGGTGAAGGGAGAGGGGCTGTCCGTGTCTCTCTAGCTACTTCCTGCTGGGAGGGGGCTTCGTCCGAGGACTCCTGTAGGCCTTGGCGTTGAGCAGCTCTCGTGGAGCTCAGCAGGGGGATGCTCTGCACCCTCTGGTTGGTAGTGGAATCCATGGTCCTCTGTAAAGTGGAGGTGAGGAGCCGAAACACGGAGGGCCCCACACAAGGCCACAGTTACACAGAGAACGGGGAAGGAGAAGGGGGCTAACCAAGAAAAATAGCCAGGGGAGAAAACCATCCCACTCCATGATCCATGAGGAGGAGCACTGATGGAATTTGGCAGCCTGGTCTCTTGACTTTTCATGCCATCCCTCACCAGGCCAGACTTGTTCGTGTGAAAGCAGCAGCGCTCTCTCTCTCTCTCTCTCTCTCTCTCTCTCTCTCTCTCCCCAGGGATTGAACCCAGGATGGTTAA